GGAGGGAGGTGCACATTTACCACCATGTGTAGAGGTCAGAGGACAACTTGTGGGAGTCAGTTCTCTCCTACCATGTGGGTCCCAGAAACAAAACGTATATCCTTGGATTTGGCAGCCATTTTCTTTACTCTCTGAGCCATCTCACTGGTTATAATGTTGTTTTCGAGACAGGATCTCATGTAGCAGAGCCTGGCCTTGAACTCTTTTTTTTTTTTAATTTTTATTTATTATTTTTATTTTATGTGCATGCATGTATTGCCTGCATGTAGGTAAGTGCACCCGTGTCGTGCAGTGCCCACGGAGATCCGAAGAGGCTGTCAGATTCCCTGGGACTGGAGTTATGGACAGTTGTTAGGTGCCATGTGGGTGCTGGGATTCAAACCCAGGTCTTCTGCAAGAACAACCAGTGTTCTTAACCACTGAGCCGTCTCTCCAGACCGGACTTGAACTCTTCTTGATCCTCCTGCTTCCACCTCTCAAGTGCTGAGATGACAGATATATACCACACAACCTGGTTTATGGGGTATTGGGGGTGAACCCAGAGTTTCATGTGCTAGGCAAGCTCTGCCTACTCAGCTACAGCTTCAGCCCTGTTTTTACTTTCTTTTTTTAAAAAGTGGGTGGGTAGCCTGGCGTGGTGGCGCACGCCTTTAATTCCAGCACTCAGGAGGCAGAGGCAGGTGGATCTCTCCCTGTAGCCCCAGCTGGCCTGGAACTCACTATGTAGTCCAGGCTGGCCTTGAACTCACAGAGATTCGCCTGCCTCCCTTTCCTGAGTGCTGGGATTAAAGGTGTGAGCCACCACGCCCAGCTAAGTATTTTTATTTTGAATGAGTGTATTGCCTGCTGTGTAAGTGGACCTGTATTATGCAATGCATCCAGAGACCAGAAAAGGGCATCCGATCCCCTGGAACTGGAGTTACAGAAAATTGTTAGCTGTCATGTGGGTGCTGGGAAGTGAACCCAGGTCCTCTGCAAGAGCAGCCAGTGCCCTTAACCACTGAGCATCTCTCCAGCCTCTGCTTTTGCTTTCTGATAAGAAGGAAATACCTCCTGCCTGTTACTGAGGCTTCTGTATAGACTTTGTGGTGACCCTGTACATGGACACAGAGGTTCTGTAGGGAGATGACAATTGTCCAGGTGTGTCCCGTGCTGGGGTGTGGGGCAGTAAGAGTGAAGGGCAGGTGCCTTCCACTGAGCAGCCTTTATCTGTCACACATCTTGTAGAACTCTGGGCCCTGGTCCAGGTACCACCTGAGTTTCCCTCCTCTCCCCCTGTCCTTGAGGTACACAGGTCCTTTCCTAGGTCCTGCCCCACACCCATCTCTTCCTCAGGGCTCACAATGCCAGCCTGGCGGGCATGCCCTTTACCTCCACCCTGTGCTGTTGCAGTGTGCCTACAGTGTCCCAATGAGGAGACAGACAGGAGCTTACCCAGCCCAAAGCTGGCATGGACTTTTCCCACTGTGGGCTTCATGGTCGGGGGCAGGACCTGAGACCCTCTCTGCCTGCCCCAGGCTGCTGGTCCACATCTTTGGGGGTATCCTACTGGGTTTGGTACAGACCTTGGTGGCCCATGGAGAAACTGTCCACACATGATTCACATTTTCTTCAAACTGCCTATGGCCCCAAGGCACAGCCTCTGGGGCTCTCTCTCAGGCCAGCAGTACTTTAAGGTGCCAGTGTTGGCCAGGCCAGGGACACACAGAGATGCTAATGTGGGACATGTGGTACTGCAGAGAAGTCTGTGCCCTGAGGCTGAGCCGCATGGGGAGGGAGCACCTCTCAGATCCTCCAGGGAATGCCCTTTAAACTGAGATGGGGGTTGCCCACATGCCTTGACTTTGGTGTCAGGTCAGTGGCCCAGGATTCCCTTACGTCCAGCAGCAAGGAGAATTAGTGTGTGGGAGATACTGACTGAACAGAGATGGGATGATGACGATGGGGTGGCCACTGTGGTCATGCACCACATCAGTTGGTTGGCTGATCGCTACAGCCTAGTGGGAAACATAATGGGAATCAGTGAGCAAATGCTGATGGATCAGTGCCAGGAAAGTAGGGAACCCTGAACCCTCATGTCATGGTATGAGCACCTGGTGCTGCCCAGCTACAGTGAGACACAGGCTGGGGTTTCCTGAACTGAATAGAGGGTAGATTCCAGTGACCCATCAGCCCCTCAGATGATCCCAGAACAAATTCACAGCTTCATGCTGCTGGGTCCTGGGTACAGATTCCCTGCCGTGGCCAACTGTGGGGACACCAAACATATAGGATGCCATGTGTAGCTAGGCATAGCAGCACATATTGTGAATCCAGCTCTCCAGACTTTGAGGTAGGAGGATTGCTGAGTTCAAGGCTATTTTGAACTCAAGATAGCAAGACCCTACCCCCCCCCCAAAGAAAAAGCCAGGTGTGGTGGTATATGCTTTCAATCCCAGTACTCAAGAGGCAGGGGCAGGCAGATCCCTGAGTTTGAGGCCAGGGTGGCCTATGTAGAGAATTCCAGGCCAGCCAGGACTACATAGTGATACCCTTTCTCAAAACAAATTCAAAATGTAAAAATCCCCAAGGGCACGAAATATTTTTTTAAAATGGGCCTGAAGAGATGGCTCAGCAGTTCAGAACACTTGCTGTTCTTCCAGAGGACCTGGGTTTGATTTCCAGCACCTACATAGCAGCTAACAGCTGTCCATAACTCCAGTTCCAGGGGAACCAACACCCTCTTCTGACCTCTGTGGGGCATTATACACCTGTGCTGCACTTACATCCATGCAAGCAGAACACTCATAAACATAAAATAAAAATAAAATATTTTCTTAAAACTCTCCAAGGGCGCCGGGCATGGTGGCGCACGCCTTTAATCCCAGCACTTGGGAGGCAGAGGCAAGTGGATTTTTGTGAGTTTGAGGCCAGCCTGGTCTACATAAGTTCCAGGACAGCTGGGGCTACAAGGAGACCCTGTCTCAAAAAAGAACAAAAAAATCCCCAAGGGCTGGACAGATGGCTCAGTGGGTAAAGAGCTTGCCTTGTAGGCAGGCTCTAAGCTTGAGCCCCAGCACCCACATAAAAAACCAGACTTGGTGGCGTCTGTCACCCCAGCGTGGGGTTGTGGAGACAGGAGGGTCCCTGAGCTCACTAGTCAGCCAGGCTGTCCTACTTGATGTGTTCCAGGGTTAGGGAGAGACCTCGTTTCAGAACAGTAAACAGTGTCTAAGGAATGAACCAGAAGAACACAGGCACCTGCACACGTAGAAACATACCCAAGAAAAAATAGGCCAAGGGCAAAGTTGGCACTAGAGTGCATATTAGATCATCAGGTACATCAAGTCAAGGCCCAGCAGCTGGGCTATGTCCAGGCACCGGCTTGAGGCTACAGGCTATAGCAGTGGGGCGCAGGAGCCCTGGCCATGTAGCAGGTTTTGGACCAGAACTGGCTAGAGCGAGCAGCCACACTCAGGCTTTCTAGTTTCTTGCAGGGCAGGGTATGAGAGCCGCAGCCTGCCCTCTGCCACCTGTGGTCCCACCTTCCAGACCTAGGAACACAGATGGGCTGTGTTCTTGGCCTGGCTCCCAGAGGTCCCTTGTATCACTGTCCCTGGAAAGAGTCAGAAATAACCCTGACTGCAGCAGGTTTCAGAGTCCCTGGTCTCCCTCCTTGTAGCCCTGTCCCCCAATTGTCCCTGCTGAGCTGTGGGTAGCCTGGAGATAGTTTGGTCAGTCTGCTCTGGCCTCTGCATGCTCCAGGCCTTCCTGTCTCAGCCACTGGCCCCCTGGGTGACTCAGTCCTCTCTGTGACTCAGAAGTAACCATCCATTCTTGGGTGCTCCTGCAGCTGACCAGCCTCTTAAGTGTGGATGCCCTGGGAGAGCAGCCCAAAAGGGTCATAGGCCCCATGGGGTCGGGAAGGTGACACCACCCCTCTCTTCTTGTCGTCCCTGGATGGGCCCTTTGTCCACTGGCTGACCCTCCTGAGAGGGTCCTACAGGAATTGGTGCAGCCCGTTTGGTGTCTTGGGTGGTTTGCCCTTTGCTTCTTGCTGAGTGTGGGCTCCCCACATCCTGCCTCAAACCTGAGTGCTGCACACTGCAGCGTCCCTCATCTGTCAAAGGCCTGACACATGGTGCCCAGTGGGTGGGGAAAGTGACCCTTGGGGGCCACAGCAAGGCCTGTGTGGACTGAAGGGTCTGTTGGGGTGTAGGTGCTGGGAATCAAACTTATATCATCTGCAAAAGCTGCTAGTGCTCTTAACCACTGAGCAATCTCTCCAGCCCCAGGAGGGACAGGGTTTAATGTGGGTCTCTGGCCTCCGCTTGGAAGCTGGAGGGGCCTGAGGATGGAGGTGGGAAGATCAGGTTTGCACCAGGCTGTGATGGGTGATCAAGGTGCTGTGACTGGGCTTCTGGGGCCTGGAGGACACAGCAGGTTTGAGGGGCAGGCAGACATCTTGGGCCTGCATGGTAGCCATTCTTCACTCTCTGTGCCCAGACTCTACTATATCGTCTCTATCCATCCTCCTGGCATTGAAGTACCATGTGCCTTCTGCGATGGTTGCCTGAGCGGTAACACAGGGTATGGTCAGGGCCACCTGGATAATTGGAGTTCCCCAGGCTACCCTGAGCGTCAGGTGCTGCCCACAGTTTGAGAGTGGTGGGCAGCAGAGGCTGGGGTCAGGTGTGGTTCCTACCTCCCCACGCACTGGTCTGTCACCTTCCTGTCTTAGCACTCCAAGCATGGAGACCACCCCGCATTTGGGGCCACCCTGCTGGCACAGTTGTGTGGCAAGGTGGGCACAACCTACTGTACCCAAGTACCTACCCCAGTTCCACAGCCACCTCCTGGTCACATTCCAGTGGCCTTTTCTGGGATCTGTGACCTCTGCCATCAGTGTCAGCAGGCCATTTCCTCCAGGGCTTCATGAGTAGGAATGATGCTAGTCTTGTTTAGACTTTCCAAGATGTTTCTGGTAGTCAACACTCATGTGTGCTTCTGTCTCTCCACAGCTGGGTGCCACAAGATTTGAGGTGGTGGGACCTGACGACAAGATGTCTCCTCTCCCTGTGAGTGACCTCGAGGCCACTGAGATGACCAGCGCAGCCAGGCCCATGAGCACGGCTGGGTGTCAGTAGCCGGAGCCGCGGCCACTGGGCATCATGGTGTGCTAGGCTGAGCGCAAGCTCAGGATTTGCACTCAGATCATACGGCGCAGAGTCACCGTGGAGAGGCCAGGGTACCACAAACTTATGGATTTTGACAAGAAAGGAGGGAAGGGGGAGTTGGAGGAAGGCCGGAGAATGTCCAAGACCGGCACAAGCCGGAGCAGCCATGGCGTCCGCAGCTCGGGGACCAGCTCAGGGGTCCTGATGGTGGGCCCCAACTTCCGAGTCGGGAAGAAGATAGGCTGTGGGAACTTCGGGGAGCTCCGCCTGGGTGAGTCCCCCACTTTCATGGTGGCTGGTAAGCCCATCACCATTGGAGCCCATCACTGGGGGAGGTTCAGGAGGAGCCCTGGCTTTGTGGTGGGTGCCCCACATGTGGCTATGGAAGAGGCTGGCTGGGCACTGGTCTGGCATTTGGCCCTAGGTCTTGAGGGCATTAATCTAATGTCAGGGTGCTGCCTGGGCAAGCCTGGGACTGAGCCCCAAGGGGCCCCTCTCTCAGCTGTCTTTCCAGGCCACCTGTCAGTGGTGCCCAGGAGCTGGGGGTTCCCTAAGTATTGCATCCTGATCCTAGAGGAAGGTGTGACCCAAGGCAGCTGGCCTCATCCTTAAGATGTATGGGAAACCTGTGTACCTGTGTGCACAAGCTTGTCCCCTGCCTGTGGGAGTTGGGGTCCCAGAGGAGGAGCAGGGGCAGGAGATGATGGCAGCAGGACTAACCTTGTGCGTACACCTGTCAGACAGTGCCACCTCTGGTCACATTTTCCACCACCAGTGGTCAGATAAGGGAACCCTTGTCCAAGAGAAGGGGAGCGGACTGGCTCCCCACTTTACAGTGGGCCACTGAGGATTCTAGGGTGGGCACAGTGGGTACCTGTATGGTCACTGAGGGACATGCTTCATTGTGGGTAGCTGCCAAGCTGGTCCCCATTCTGGCACAGAGTTCCTCAGGCACCATGCACAAGCCTCTCCTCTGCCACAGCAGCCTCAGGCCCCGGAGCCTCCTGCTTGCAGCCTGGGGTCTCCAGTGTCTTCCGAGGCCCAGCTGTAAGTTGGTGGCTCCCTGATGGACACCTGCACCTGAGCCCTGCTGTCCCAAGGGCATGCATGTGTGTATGTATTCAGACACTGCACAGGGCACCTACAGTTGCAAACACCCATGCAGGTGCGCACAGACACACTGTCACACACAAGAACAAGCATACACACAGCCAGAGGCTGTGGAAGGTGACCCTGCCTGTCTTTGGAGTGCCAGCTGGCCCTTGGGAGTCCTTTCTTGAGGCAGTAGCGTCAACAGCCAACAGCTTAGGTCCCACTAAATTTTCTCCTTCCCATTCTCTGTTTGACCTGCCTTCCCTCTCTTCAGGATCTCGTTGTCCTGATGCGGGTAGACAAACCACATGACACATCTTTATCTGAATTTTTATTTATTTATTTATTTATTTGGTCTTTTTGAGACAGGGTCTCCCTGTAGCCCCAGCTGTCCTGGAACTCACTATGTAGACCAGGCTGGCCTTGAACTCACAGAGATCCGCCTGCCTCTGCCTCCCGAGTGCTGGGAGAGTGCTGGGATTAAAGGCGTTCGCCACCACGCCCGGCGAGTTCCTTATTTTTATCTCATGTGTGTTCGGCCTGCATGTATGTAGGTGTACCACCTGCATGCAGTGCCCATGGAGCCCATAAGAGGGCATCAGATCCACTGGAACTGGAGTTACAGACAGTTGTTAGCCACCATGTGGGTGCTGGGAACTAAACCTAAGTCTTCTGTAAGAGCAGCCAGTGCTCTTATCTGCTGAGCCATCTCTCCAGTACAGCCTGTCAATTTTTACACTGGGGTGAGGTTTAGTGGTAGCATGTGTCTTGAGCAAGGGCTGGGTTCCAGACCCAAAACAAAAAAGAATAAGGCCAGATGTGCAGATGTGGTGGCTGGAACCAGTCATCATGGCACTCAGGAGGCTGAAGCAGGGGAATCTCCCTAAGTTCCAGGGCCAGTCTTGGCTACAGAGTAAGCTCCTGTATATATCATATATCCTCCCCTCCCCCCCTCCCTT